AAAAGCTTGTTCTAGTGGGGGCATGTTTTAGTTCTAAATGTAAATAGTTAGCAAAACTGCAATGGCAACTGTAAGTGTAATTAATTCTATTTCTGTTATTTCTAGAAAGTAGAGAGGTGTGGGGTATAATATTAATTTGTGATAGGATTTGGTGAGCTCTTTTTCAATAAGAAAAGTAAAAGTAGTAGGAAATCCAAATATTATTATAAAGTTGGTTAGAGATTTTTAAAAGTATTTTAATAATAAGTTGGGAAGCTTGCAAATAGAAAATTTCAAAAGAGTTTAATAATTAAATTAGAGCGATAGATATAAGACCTTTTAGTGTGGAGTATAGAGAGTAGGGGTATAGCTATGATAGAGAGAAGTTAAAGGTAGAATGTAAAGCAATAGTATGTATTAAGTTATTAAGTTGGTATGTTGGAAGGTTAAGATTGGCATTAATGATAATATTGTATATTGAGATATTGATAGCTTGGGTTAAAGAGATGTTGTTAGAACAGAAGTACTAGTGAGAAGGAGTATCAAGCAGTTGCATAAGAAGCAGTTAGAGGATATAAATCTAGAGAGGTATATGAAGTAAAGATATACATGTGTTGAAAGAATATTAAGAAGCATTTTGATTTTAAAAATTTTAGATAGTTTAGTTTAGAGTTGGTAAAGTTGTATAATACTTTTTAGTTGTTATTAAAGTATAGCTATAAGGCTTTTTAGTCAATTAAGTAAGAGAAGTGAAACTATTTATAAGCATGATGTTGTGAGAACCACAAGGCAATATTTTGAGCATTGCAGATTAATTTAATAAATTGTCTAGTAGGGCTTTTAATAGAGCTTTTGTCCTATTGCAAAATAGAGAAAAGGTTATACAAATTAGTGTAATTAAAATATAGAGTTAGTGAGATAGAATGGTTGTTTGCAAGTAAGTTAGCAAGGTTGTTAAAAAGGTTGTCAGAATGGGCTTCAACTTTGTAGAAAGTGAGTTAGATATTAAAAGACTTGAGAATATTAAGAAGTATATGCCAGATAGGCCAGATATTGAACTTAAACTATTTTGAAGACTGAGATGATAAAGCCTGGAGTTTGTTGTATTTAGAAATAACAGATTGTGAGTCAGTAAAAATATCAAAGTTGAGTTGCAAGAAAGTGTAGACATAGCTGATAGTATTATGAGTAGTTCTGCTTTGTATAAAGAGAGCTAGTTAGAAATTTAAGTAGAGAAACTATAAGTAACTTTGTTGTTGTCAACTTGGACTCAGCTAACACCTATTAAACATTAGTTAGTGCCAAGTTGTTTGACAGAACCATCAGTATAGAAGGTAAAATAATATTGGGATAAGTTGGATAATGAGATCATAGCAAGTTTTGCAGAGGCATCACTATTGTAAAAGATAGTGGGAATAGGAAAATCAGTTATATTAATATTAATAGTAGGAGGTAAAAATAAGTTGGTAGAATATTTTATTTTAGTAGAGTGGATAAGTTCAATATAGTTGGCATTGAAGTTGAGTTGTTTGTTAGCTTTTTTTCTCTCCAGAAAGTGGGTAGAAAAAATAGCAGATATTTTTAGAATACAGTAGCTAGATATGCGATTTGAGTTAAGATTGTAACCTTTATAGGGGGTGCAGGAAATAGAAGGTAGAGGATAATAATAAGAAGTAGAGGTGCCAATATTATGTTGCCAGTGTGTTATCGATATAGTATTAGTGTGAGTGAAGGTTTTGCAGATTTGTCTGATAATGATATCTTTATTGTAAAAAGTTAAAACCCAAGATTTGTAAGATTTGAAAAGAGTATTAGTTTGGTAGGCAAATTGGTTAATATCTGTATATTGAAGATGGGGTAGAATAATGTAGTGATAGTTGTTCTCAAGAATAGCTAACTGATCAAGTCTGATCAAAGTATTGTAAAATAATTTTTTTATATGTTTCACACCATGTGTAAAATTAGTTGTGTAACATTAATGGTTTCTCCTGTTGTTGAATTAAAATAAAAAAGTTTGTTGAATTTGATTTAGTTGTTGTTAAGAAATCATTATGAAAAGTTTTAATGCATGTTAGCAAGGGTCAATAGATTGGAAGAACTGGTCAGAGGTAGGGATAGGTTTGACTACGAATGGCTATGATGATTCATAGCCAATTTGCTAAATACTGAGATGATTTTTTGTTCTTGAGCTTTTAATTAAAGTTGTTCAGAATTAAATTCTGCCCATTCTATCTTATAAGTAGAAAGAACAATACCTTATCTGGAGCTCAGAATTTTAAGATTTGGGGCCTTTGCAATAGAAAGGCTGAAACTCAGAAATATATAAATTTGAGATAATTATGTTTATCTTTTTCAGACTGACCCGGGTTCATCAAAAATTTTGTGATATGATTGGTTAGTTATATCAGGTAATCTTGTGATTTATGAGCCTTCTAAAAAGATTTTTTTTTAATATCTTGATTTTTTATTATGTAAACCAATTTACATTTATAATTGAAAAATGTAGCCTGATTTGAAATTTATTTAAATCTTGAAAAAACACATTTTTAATTTTTGGAGAGTTTGGGCCCTTTCTATTGCAAAGGCCCCATTTGTTAATGTCATAGCCGACTATTAGCCACAGCTAGTAGCCAGCAATGGCATTAACAAATCTTTAAATTCAAAGCTCCAGAGAAGGTATCGTTCTTTCTACTTATAAGATGGGATGAGCAGAATTTAATTCTGAACAACTTTAATTAAAAGCTCAAGAACAAAAAATCATCTTAGTATTTAGCAAATTGGCTATGAATAATTATAACCGTTCATAGTTGAACCCATCTCTAGTCAGGGGTTACATGTCATGTGCTACAACCCGTGCTCTCAAAAGAATGAATCAGTTAATTAAATTGCATGAATCAACACGCAACCAGAAATACGCAATAAATAAGTCACCGACCACGATCTATATATAACAGCCGACAAAGAAAAGTTGCTTTCGACACTCTTTCCCACTTCGACACAATAGTCTTTGGCAAACAAATTTCTCGACCCACTCTCCCATCGCATACTGTAGTCTCCTAATTTTGCCATTTTCCTATTTAACAGCCAGCCTGTTTCGAGCAGGCGATGCTACCGGGTGATGCTGCTTCTCGCTCATTCTACTGTTTCAATGATACCTGGCGCAATCTCACTTGCTAATTTTCTGGGAACATATTATTATTTCAGTTCAATTTACTTGGTTAAAATTACTTGGCTAAAATTACTCTTAATGTATTCTACGGACTTCATGTCATTTAATTGAATTTATTTCTGGCTACTTTTGGCTAGCTGGCATTTTCCAACTATCAATCATACCGATGCTTTTCGAAAAACTTAAAATATCTTGAAAAAAAAATTAAACTTGGGTAAATTTTTCTTCGAACTTTAAAAAGTTTTTTGATAACCAACTATCCAAATTTGATGATTTTTTTTTTATTTTAGTTTTGTAGGTCATAGAATCAAACCAAAAAATTTTGGATCAAATTTATAGCTGGTTGTTGAGAAATATTTATTAAAATTAAAGAAAATTTTGATTATAGTTTAAGATATCAAAACTTTAAATGAAGATTGCTTGGCACTTACTTGTCAAATTCGATCAAACTTTTTTTTATTTTAATTCTCTAATTTTATAGAATTAAAAAGAATTTGATCGAATTTGGTTAGATAAGTCCCAAGTTATCTTCGTTCAAAGTTTAGGTATACGTTAAAAAAAAGCCACAGTCAAATTTTTTTTTAACTTTTAATCAATATATCTCATCATTTACCTATTCAAATTTGTTAAACTTTTTTTTTTAATCCAATGAGCTTATAATTTATTAAGTAAATTTTTTCTGTATAGTCAACATTATATAATGAAATCTTTATAGTGAACTCAAAATTTCAAATTTTATAATAGTTCGGTATAAAAAGTGCTATGAACAACTTAATATCATATTACAAAACATAGTAATATTTTTATGGTGAACTTTTTTTTCGTCCAGAACTATTAATTCGTTATAGAAAAGAATTGACTTTAATATTTTTCATGATAATGAAAATGACTAATATTAAACATCTTTATGAAAGTGAAAATAAGTGACGGGATAGTTATTTAAATAATAAAGAATTTTAACAAATATACTAGATTTTTTCTTGTAAACTGTAAGATTATTTAAAGATAGTATTAAAGGAATTTTAATGAGTGAACATAAAACGATATGAACTTTTGGGGGTTTTTTTTTATAAATGTAAAGTACAATGTTATGTTAGGTTTTTTGGCGAATTTGCCAAAGTTTTTTTATACCGTATAGTTTGTATAATTATCTTAAGCCATATCAGTACAATTATATTCGAAAAAAAATAATAATAATTTATAGTACGTACGAATTACCAGTAACAAAGATCCAACTACTGTATTTTCGCGAAATAACGCGCAGGGGCGTTATTTTGAATTTCGGCCAGATTTATTCTAATTCGGGCCAAACTTTGAAATTACACCCCTGCGCGTTATTTCTCGAAAATACGGTACCATCATTTTTTGCTAGGCGACGCTGCGTAAGCTAACCCGTATGTGCAAAATTACATGTGTCCGGAGACTTCCCATTTCCCAGCATGGCCGACAAAAAAAAACTCAGGCGCATGTATGGCTAGAAGAGATTGTTATTCTGAGTCACCAATATCGATATTAACCTTATGGCATTAATCTGGTATCAATAAAAAATACTTTTTGACTTACTTTTACAGATTGATATTTCACTGTTTAATTGCATTATTTATATCAAATGATCATTTGATTTATTGATATCAGTTTATCAAGAGTTTGATTTATCGAAAGTTGACCGTATTGTCTATATCAAATTTTTACACCTGATATTTTTCCTTTCTATATAAAGATCCTCCAATGATGAGTATATTATATCGTTTCATTTATTTATTAATTTACAAGTACAGAATACTGCAGCCTGAACACCAATTAATAACTAGTGCGTCCAATTGACAACACCACTTGATAAACTAAAAAGAAAATGGGTAACAGCTTCAGTAACAGTGATTCAAGTAACACTTCAAATAACACTTCAAGCGACAACTCAAGTTCTGAAAAAGGCTATAAAAGTCATAAAGAACTCCTCACTTCTAATTGGTATAACACAATAAAAAATAAATTAAAAGATAATTCACTGTGCATACGATCTGAAACAGAGCTTGATAATTTGATAAATAGCCTTGGAGATGAAAAAATATTTCTAGATCGGTATCTCAATCTTAAAGAAATCTACAATGACGAAAATTTGCAACAAATCACTAAGGATTTGCAGGAATTAAATATTCTTCAAGAAAATAATTTTACTCCAAGCGAGGAAGAGGGAAGGAATCTGATCAATAGTCTATTGCAACACAGAAGAAAATCCGACAAATTCAATGTTTATTTGTTTATTAGTAAGCTTTCGAATGGCCGTTCTGATAGCCCATATCTTCGATTTTTAGGAAAGCATGTGCTTAGAAACAAATATGGAATGTTTCACGTTGGTTTAGAAGTAGATGGAATTGTTTTGGATTGGGGTACTGGCGACGCTGGTCCTCATCTTATTTATCCAAAGATCTACGTAAATAGAATATATGATAAGATTGCATATATTCGTGTCAATTACGATTCAAATTTTAGTCGAGAATTTAATCAATCAACTAATCGATTCTCACAATTTTGGAATATTTTATGTCATATTTTTTCTGACTCTTTATCCATTATATCAACAATGTATAGAATGTTGTTAACTTTTGTTACAAATATTGGTGTTATCCCGTCCCAAAAATTACAAATTATTGCTCAAAAATGCGTTTTTTGGAACAGGTTTATATTTTACGATCCACTAAATCGTAATTGCCAACATTTTATCGATGAAATGCTCAAAGCACTTGGTCTAGAATTTCATCCTGAAGGCGAGTTCAAAAAGTTTCTAGATCGAATTATTAATTATGCAGATGATAGCTTCTTGTTCCAAGAGATAGAATTCCTTTCGAGACAAGACCTTGATCAATACGCCAATCAGAATTGGGATAAAATTCAAAATATTTGGGATAAAAAATTACTTTTGTGTTATTCTGACATGATGGAAGGTTTATATGTAAATGACAAAAATCCAAAATGGGGTCCTATGGAAAATAAAATGAGATGGGAACAAAGAGAGTATGAGCTAAGAACTCATTAGAGTTGTCATTTTTCGGTTATTGTTTGTTATTAATATATATTTTTTTCCCGTAAACACTAGGCTAGAAGGGAGAAGGTGTTTGTTAGTAAAAGGTAGTTAGAAAAATATAATTTTATGAAAGATTAGGAGAGTATTTTAAAGCTTGATTTGAGATATTTCTTAAATTATTTTATTGTATATATTCGCAATAAGGATAGTTTGATTTGATTGTAATAAGAATACGTATATTGTATGTGTTGTACCCATATTGGGACAATACCGATAAGAATTTGTAATTTTAGCTCAAATTATTACCATATAAAATTAAAATTCCTTTACTCTAAACCCTAATTCTAACACTAACGATAAAACCCTAATTTGTCAAAAAAAAAAAATCCAAATCTTTCATCGATTCTGAATCCAATCTGGGTACAACATCTATCTATACTATCGAATTTACGTTTTAAAATTTTTGACTATGATATACCAAAATAGGATTCAAATTTAATTTAATATTATAAGTAGGATTAAAAATTATCAAATCAACTAGAACATGATCATGTAGGCGGCTTCGCCACTGGTTTGTATTGAGACAAATTTGTATTTCATATTTCTAAAATAATTCGAATAAAATAATAAAGTATTACTTGATAGTAAAGGTTCACAACTTAAATAATATATTTCAAATACCTCAGTTTAAAAATATTTATTTTCACTTATATACACTCGCATAATAAAATTATATAAAATGAATTCAAATATCTTGATGCCTAATACCTTATCTATTTTAATTTGCATAAATAAAACGAAGTTAATGAATTTGTACAAGAATTCGCAAATTTAACGAATTAGAATCTTCGCAAATTAATTTAGATGAAATGAATATGAATACTTAATTGAGTAAAATAAATATTCGGTAATTAGTGGAATTTTATTTTTGTGTTGACTCTAGATTTTTATTATATAATAAATAACCGACAAACATTATCCCTTAATTTGTATGTAAATTCGGGGAAAATTTTCCCCAATTTTGTAAAATAATTTTTATTCTACTCAAATTATAATAAATATTATAAATGCAAATCAGATCAAATACGAATATTTAATAAATTTCTATACTTTTTACTATAAAAATCTTTAAAACAATTGGATCTTAGAACTATAAAGAGGTATATTATATTTAATATACAAAATTGTTTGAGAAATTACATTGCTTTTTTTTTTTTATCTTTATCATTATTTTTTATTACTGTGCCTTTCATTCGTGTTGACGAAAAGTCAACTGATCGAAAAGCTGCTAAGCAGGGGGCATCTTCCCCAGCATCGCCACCAATTTTTTCGATCACGTGATACCGGGCAAAATTTTTTAAGTTCGTTAATGTTAGGGTTAGGGCCTACGCAAGGTTAGGGTTATGAGGTTTTATAGTAAAATTGTTCAAGGAATTTTTTTTGTTAGAGCACGAAAGGTTGTTTCTTATGTAAATTTTCAAGCTATTGACGATTTTTGAAAAAGCGAACGTTTGTTTTGATCTTTCTGATTGTGCTACGTTACACCAAGGTGATCCACTATTGGATAATTTTCACGTGATCAAAAAATTTTGTTAGTAATTTGGTGGCGATGCTGGGGAAGTTAGCAGGGGGCAGTGTGCCCATGTGAAGCTTCAACCAGATCCATACAATCTAAGGGGGTGAATTTAATTACCTTCTGAAAGCAGAAATCGCTAACCCGATATAGGCGGCTATGGCAATGAAATCAAAATAAAATTGGGAATCTGGCACCAACTTAGCGCTGCAGATGACAATTCACGACCTGTCCCTCCCTCCCACCATTTTCATAATATAACTGCGGAATATCAATATTACATGTTCATCTTGATGGCTGGTCTGCATTATGCAGGCAGAAAACCACTAGCCAGTGCTAAGCTGCACAAACTCAACTGCTTACGGTGATCCCCCGGTGCATTATTATTTGCTTTTCTGGGAGGTATCCATTGCAGTTCCAATAACGTGTAAATCACAACTAATGTAAACTGCATTTATCAAATAAAGTTCATTTCCGGTGTATCAGACCGGACCATTCCAAATTCCAAAATAAAACATGTGTGCTAGGCTTTTCGAATTACTGTGTCCATCAAATGATTGACTATCACATAGAAATCTTTAAAATTTCTCAAATTTATGACTTTTTTTGTGAATAAATCCAAATATCTTGCTTACAAATAAAAATTCCAAAGATTTCTCTTTTATTTTCGCTTTTCCCAGTAAAACATCTAATAATACATAGAAATTATTGCTAGTTTGACCAAATAACATTGAGAATTCCAGTTGTTTTTTTTTGTTAAGCATAAAAAAACAAATTCCCAATGTTATTTGGCCAAACTAGCAATAATTTCCTATGCATTAGTAGATGTTTTATTGAGAAAAGCGAAAATAAAAGAGGAATCTTTGAAATTTTTATTTGTAAACAAGATATTTGGATTTATTCACAAAAAAAGTCGTAAATTTGAGAAATTTTGAAGATTTCTGTGTGATGGTCGATCATTTAATGGACACAGTAATTTAAAAAGTGCAGTAAATAATGATAGTACAAAACATAATTTTTTTTGTTTTTTTATCTTGTTAAATACTTCACTGATGAAAACAACTTACAGGTAGATTAAAATTAAATTGTTTAATGTTATTAATAGCTGTTTATTTATTCAGTTTCATATATCTTAAAGACTGTAAATTTTATAAATTTCTATATAAAAACTATTGCTATTCAACTTTTAACTCTTTTATAGTGCTTTTCAAATTATTGTGTTAATCATCTATTATATAAAAATCTGTAAAATTCTTTTAAATTTATTGTTTTTTAAAAAATCCCACTTAAAAAATCACAATCCAAAGATTTCTTGTTAATTCCTGATTCTCTAAAGGGTTATCTATTAGTTTATAATATTTTGTTTTAATTAATCAAGTAGTTGTAAAAATTTCTAAAGTCTATTAATAGATGTGCATTAAAAATTATTTTCAAACTTTGATCGAAGATATCTCAACACCTATTTAATCATATTTGATAAATTTTTTTTTATTCAAATTTTGATTATCTTTATAATTAAAAAAAAAGTTTATTGAATTTGGCCAGGTAGGTATTGAGATATCTTTGATTATAGTAATTAATTTTTAGTAATATGTTAAAGTGTGAAATAAGTGGTATGTTAAAGTATGAAATAAATTGACTTTTAGTAATATGTTAAAATGTAAAATAATTATTAGTAGTATATAAATTAAATAGTATTTTAATAGTATATTAAAGTGCAAAAAAAATGTATTATATGGTATTGAAAAGATTGTCAATAAAGTAACAAGGCAATTATTATTATTATTTTTTTTGTTTTGGCAATCCTGCCTTTATTATGTAAGGGATACATATTATTTATACAAAGGTACATAGCTATTGCCTACACCCTCTCTTCTTCTTAATAAAAGCTTACCTGGCTGCTTTATAAGTGCCCAGATGTGATTTGCCACAGCAACTTTTTTCTCACTTTTAGCTTTCAACTTGCTGAAAGATTACCCATTGAATCCTAGGAAGGTAATTGCTAGCCTTGTCAGGACTGCATTTATGAACTATACTTGGGTGGTCTGTATAAGCCTAACTACTTCAGATTTCTATTAGATAGGACTATTTTTTTGATTTCTTTCTCTATTTTTTTCCATTGATTTCTTCTAATCTCATTAAGTATATCTTCTTTATCTTGTTTTGTCTTGGTCTTTTTCTTCTTTAGTTTTGTACTCTTGTACTGCTGGCCGTTTTCATATTTACTTCTTTTCTTTGAATTTGTGATCCCTTTGTCTTTCTTTCATTCATTTAGTGCTTCATATCTTAAAAGCCATATTACCTTCTGAAAGTGTTTTTGTAACTTTAGAATATAGTTTTTTCTTAATGCCTTTTCTTTTTTGTTTTGTTTGAAATGGTCCAGATTACTCCTCTTATGCAATTAATTCTGTTCTCATATCTTTTTTCTTGAGTTGTTCCAATTGTTTTTCCTTCAAAATCTTTTGGGAAAAATAGATTGTATCTTTTCTTAGCGTCTTTTTGTTCCTGGGCTTTGGCTTTTTCAAAGGCTTCTTTTTCTATTCTTCTCCACACTTCTTCATATATTTTACAGGTGGCTAAGTGCGCTAAATTCTCCTTTTTTTTAAGATATGCTAAGCATGTATTTGTTAGGTACAGGCCTAGATTTCTTCTATTTAACTTGTCAAGAGTTGGCAATAGCTCATTTATATATTTTATATTAAAAACCCATTTGTAGCTACTTCTAAGACTTCTATATTTACTTCCTGCCTCTTTTCTTTGTATCTCCCATGTATTCCTCCAATCTATTTGCTTTTCATTTGTACTATTACTAACCAGATTAATTACATTTTTACTATTTATCCACTCTATACTATAGTATATTTTGGTTATGTTGTCTACCATTTCTCTAATCAGGATATTTTTTTCTATCTAGAACTACTTTTATTAACCTTGACCACTCTATTTTAAAAACACAACTTGAATTATTTATATTTCTTTCTTTAGCTAAACTATCAGCCACATCATTTAGTTTTATATTACTATACTCCTTCATCTTGATGAGTACTAGGTTTATGTTTTTAGTTTTAACCAGATTTATTATCATTGCTATAATGCTTTTATTCTTAAGCTTTGTTAGGCTTGCTTCTTTAGAACTTGATCTAGCTTTTCTGATTGTATTTATCACATTTGCACTATCTGTAAATATCTTGACTTTGCAGTTACTAGGTACTGCCAATATTCCTAGACCTATTACATCTAATTCTGCTTGTGTTGATAAAGGCCAGTCCTTTATTGCATCCAAAAACTGTATAACTATTGTTTCTGTATTCTTTTCTGCAATTATCTAGCCTACTTCCATTTATTTTGGTTTGTTAATCTGGTAGTTTTCTTTTAGAAACCCATTTGTATACATATCTAATTCCGATTTGTTCACTAATTTTTGCCATATATTCTTTAGCCTGTCTCTATACTTTTGCTCTTTTATATATCTGTCGATAAAGTTTTCTTCTAGGCTTCAGGCTACAATGATAGGGCTGTTTATAGTATCTAGAGTGCTTTTCTCTATATTCATATTTTTGCTAAATGCAGATAAAGACAACTCATATAAAATTTATCCTTCTCTTTCTTTTTGGTATAGTTCTTCTTAATAGCTCTTTTCATGTTTTTGAAACTTTTTTCTATTCTGCATTCTTCATCAGCACTTCTTGTGGCTAAACTACACTCTGTACATTTCTTCTATATGTTGCTAGTTGCATTTTCTTTCTTCTAGTATACTATTTCAACTTTTTTATTTAATTTCTTTTTCTTTATTATATGTCCTATCTTTGTATCACTTTCTTTGTTTGTAAATACTATCTACTCATGTCTTCTCTTGTCTGTCAAAATATTTTGAAGTATTGGTATTAAAGCTGCCTAATTTTCTTCTTCGATACTATATTCTAGGCAGATCTCTCTTGTTATTTTATTTCTGATCACTAATTCTTCTATACTGCTAAACTAAGAGAGTTTTCTTTCACACTTTTTATTTCCTTACAAATGTTTAAGGTTATACCATGTTATCAAGAGCCTTTTATTTTTCTCTAGTAATTGCTCAAAGAAGAAAATTTGCCCAATACTGCTTTGAAAAAATCTCTTTCTTTCTACTTTATTTAGAAGTGACCAAATTTCTGTATCTGAGCCCAGATTCATATTTTCTATTATCTCTTTGCAATCTAGCTCTATATCTAGCTTTTTTGCCTCTCCTATAAGTTTTGTATTAAAGTTTGTATTTATAAATACTTTGCTAAAATGTTGTCAATCCCAGCTAATTATGCTGTTATAGCTTTTATTGTTAAGTTGGGCTTGTTTTAATCATATTCAGATTATATTACCTGCTATTTTTGTGCTATTTACTCTTTTAACTAAGCAAGTTATTTGTTATGCAATTTGTACTTGCCACAAGCTTTTGACGGCTACTATATTAGGATGTAAAATAATATTGTTTGCTATAGAACAGGCTAGACTTGCTTTTCTTTTGAACAATATAAAGAAAGGTCTATATATTCTATTATATGTCTGCTTGCTTAGGACTTGACACTTTAGTCTGTATTCTAACCTTGGTAACAATACCTTGTTATTTATATACTACAAGTGACCTAACAAGATCTTCTTATTCTTTAGCACCTTTACAACCTTTGTGATCTCTTTTTTGGCTAGGTTAATTCTATAATTTTTTTTGTTTTTTTCTGAAATCCATACTCCAAAAAATTTGGCAGCTTCACTATTTCTTTTTGCTTTTCTAATTACTCCATTTTTACATTCAATACTCCAATTGTTCTCTTCAAGGCCTTTTCTTTTACTTATTATTAACTCTGATTACTTTTTATTAATTTTAATATTATTTAGTTTGTAAAATTCATTAGCCTTTTGTAAAATTTCTAACAGCTTAGCTTTGGACCTTGCTATCTAGGTTGTGTCATCAGTATATACCACTACTACTTGTTTTTGTTTAATCTGCAATATTTTACTTTTTTTCAAATCTGTGGGTCAATTAACCTCTACCTCATATCTTCACTTCTTGTTTTTCTATATTTTATATAATAAGGGATCATAAAAGATTCGCCAAATCAGGAGGGAGAGCACTTTACTCTGATTTATCCTGTCTCTAGCTCTAAAGGTTTTGGTGCTACTAAATATAGTAATTACTTCTAACTCTCTTTGCTTGTACAAGCTAGTAATATACTCCTGTATATTTTTAGGTATCTTAATCCTTTTAAGAGCCAAATCTAACAAAAATATGCTTACTGAGTTAAAGGCTTTTTGCATGTCTTGCAGTAATATCCACAATTCTTTTTCTTTCTTCTGAGCTTCTTCTGCAATACTGTTTATAATATGGATAGAATCTTCTGTGCTTTCTTCATCTAAACTAGCATAGTTTAGGTCTTTGAGTATACTATATGCTTTGAGTACCTTTCTTAGCCTTTTCATAATTACTTTGCTAAGAACTTTTTTTACTGTTTCTAGAAGAATAATAAGACACACATTGTTTTGTTCATAATTCTAGTCCTCTTTTTTTGGAATTGAATATAGTGCTCCTCTTTCTACTTTAGTAGTATTTTACTTATCTTTATATATTTAGACATAAGTCTAATACAAGCTTCTCTGACCTTGTGGCTAATATTTTTAAGAACTGGGTATATTATTCCTGATAACCCTGGTGCTGAGCTATTAAGTGTTTTTTGTAATGCCTCATTCTACTCTTCTATTTTTATCTCACTTGATACTTCTTTATACCAACTTTCTTCTATTTTGAGTTTAGGCCTATACTGTTATGCCCAGTTTTTTGCAAGTAACTCTTGGTTGATTTTTTTTTCTCTGAACTAGTTTTAAAAGAAGCTTTTAACTTATTCTAAGACTTTTTTTTTCTTGTTAACTAGTGTGATTTTATTATCTATCTCTTCAACTATCTTGTCAATTTTGATTTTGCGATATAGTTTTTTTAAAATATTATTTAGTATACTTTTCTGATTAAGCGTAATATTTGCACACTATTTATCAATTATTTTTCTAATGCTTGACTCTTCTTCTGCTATTTTGGCTTTGTTTCATATCTTTTTTACAACCTTAGCAGTTTGTTCAAGTTGTTTATATGTACTTCAAACTATGTTATACTATGTAATATTGGGCTTTCTTTTAGTTCTGTGGCTATGCTCTTATTAATTATCTCTATTGCTTTTATAGTATCCACTAGAATTACTTGATCTATGTTCTTTTTAGCTTTTTTGCATATCTTATTTAATTCTTTAGTGATAGTTCTAAGCTTGGTAATAGGATTTTGACTACTTTTACTCATTCTTTTAGCTGCATTTCTGGGTTTTGGAAGAGCTTTATTTGCCTCATTTTTGATTGCTATTTCTATACAATTCCACTCTCTGTTTATAGCCTCTTGACTTTTTTCTTCTTTTAATGCTCTAATCTCTTTATTTAGCCTTTTTGCCCAAAGCACTTCTTGAGTAACTAGTATACTATCTGACTTTTTTGCAAAGTTTTTCTAATTTTCTAACTCTATTTTCTTGTGATCTATGAAAATCTTATTTGTTTTCACTCTTTTTCTTTGTGATCTACTAGAAAAGCTTTTATGAATATCATGTTCTAACCAAGCAGCTACTAGATGGTAATTACTTTCTGTTATTATATCCATTTCCTCTATTTTGTATTTTGTAGATCAGTATACCAATTATCTGAGATCTAGACATAATCTATTGTAGTATTTCTTTCTGGCCCTCTTCTTGTCTCTGTTACCCTGTTGTCTTTTATTTTATTGAAGATGCTTTTAAAGTCTTTATTTATTAATTTTCTATATTAGGGCTCTTCTTTCTAATCTTGTTGTATTACTTGAGGTGTTATATCTTATTTTTTCTAACTCTAAGTTAAAATCTCCTATTACAATAACTTTCACCTCTTTGTTTTTGTATTTTTGGTCTGCTTGCTTAAACATCATTTTGCAAGTTTCTTTTTTTGCTTCTTTATTGTTTGGTGGGATATAGATTGTTAGAACTATTAATAATTCTTTTCAAAATACAAAAACTACTCTATTATATAGAGAGACTATTTGATAACTCTTGCTAGATATTTTTTTATATTCTTATGTACTAATACTGCACCCCTAAGCCCTTCTTCTTCTTTTCCTCTGCCGATGACCAAAAACCTATATATTGCTCTTCTTTTTGTACTAGCTATATATCTTCCTTCTCAAACACATTAGTTTGCATAACTCCACAATGTTTAACCTTTTTTTCTTTGTAAAATCTAATAAGCTATTTAATTTATATTTGTTTGTCTTTACTCCATTAATATTATACACCTCTACTACCACTATATCAACTTTCTTTTCTAAGTTTTTATTGTCTAATTTGGTAGCTATGCCACTTCTTTCTGTGAGGACAACTACAGCTAATTTAGGAGCGATTGGCTAGAGGGCTGCTCTGTTCAAGATTACTCTCTCTTTTATATTAAGCTTCAATTTTATTAAGTCTACTTATAATATCTTCGAGTATGCTTCTGATATCATGTAATTTTTTATTCTCTGCTATTCTGCTTTGCTCTTTGATTTGTTCTTGGTAGTACTTTCAGCTATTGTATATTAATCAGTGGGGCTAATATTTTCTTTTCCTTTCTCCAAACCTCGAATTCTTTTTTTAATTTTACTCTCCTATAAGTATTTTTTTTTTTTAAATTTTTTTTTGTGCAAAACTATGCTCTGGTTCTTCTTTTTATATTTGGAACAATTCTACTCTAATTTTGTATTATAATAATAAACCTGCTTCTTTAGTGCCAGTTTTATGTCATTTTCTAATTTGAAATACACCAAGGCTGTACTTCTTTGATTACAGTTGCTAATATACAATATATATATGGCTTGTACGTTAACTGATCTTTATTGTTTTAACAAAAGTGTTTCTGGGGCTGTCTTAGGGATATTTTTCACTACTGCTTTATGCTTTGCTCTATTTTCAAAAATTTCTCTTGTAAATACTCTTCTTGAGATTCTTAATATTTTTCTCTCTTCAAAATGCATAGCCCAAGTCTTTTCAAGTAAAGCTTTTTTTTTTTTATTCCAAAAAGTTATATAAAAGGATGCAGCTTTCTTTTTTCCAAAGATTTCTCAGCTTCTAAACTGTATTCAGCCATAAAAATGTAAACATCTTCTTATTCTTGCTGCTTTTATAATAACTAGAATATCTCATAATATAAAGCAGGCTTGTGTAGATTCCTTCTCTGTTCCTTTAACCAGTGTTTTATTTGGCCTGTACTGCTTAGTAATTCTTTTTCTTTATCTTGTATTTGTGTATTTTTGTTTGAGCTTTGCATATTACTTGCTTTCTCTGGCATTTTTTCATTTTGTGCTAAGAGTTTATCACCTGCTTCTGGGGCTTTTTTTTTTCTCTTCTTTTTCTTGTTTTGTGATTGTGACTATGTTTTCATTTACTTGTTTACTCTTGTTAATCTGTAGTTTCTCTATAATTCTATAGTTAGTACAGTCACATTCTTGCTCTTTGAGTACTGCTTTGGTTTTTAGCACATCTTTAGGCTTAACTGCTTGGTTTTTGCCTGCACTTTTAACTTTAAGATATTCAAGCCAGTCGAATAGTTTAATTATATTTCTAAACATGCATATTAACTGTGGTTCTGCCCATACTATAAGAGCTATTTCTCTATCTTTTCTGAGTATTTTCTTTTTGTAATCATCTTTGATTGCATTAAACTCTTTTGCTGACTTTAAGAAAATATTTTTATATGTATTCAGTTTCTGCTTCCTGTTAATTTTAGAAACTGTCACTTGGGATGAGTTTGTCACATGTGTATCTTTGTTTTTCACATGATTGTTTTGTTTATTTGTATTTTTTTTTTTTTTTTTTTTTTTTTTTTTTTTTTTTTTTTTTGTTTTTTTGTGTTTTTTTTTTTTTCTTTTTCTTTGCGGGCCCGCCCGGCCCCCCCCTTTTTTTTTTTTTT